TCAGGCAGACGCAGCCTTCTAAACAGGCATTGTAGAGGACAGACCGCAGGGGCCTGCAGAGGAACCACTAGAGGAGCGGCCGAATACAGAGCCGCGTCTGATGCCGCAGGTCAGCGGTCCCCCCCGGCCCCCCCTCGCTACAACACTGGCCGGGAGTGTCGGATGAACAGATGATCCGACACTCCCGGCGGAGAGACCAGGGGCCCGCCGGGCGCTGGATACTGATCCGGCGGCCGGCATCTTGCTTGGCCCCCCCAGAGCCTGAGGCCCCCGGGCGCCCGCACCGCCTGCACCGGCGGTAGTTCCGCCACTGAATATGCCATAAGGTAAACCTCTGAAACCCCATGTCAGACTTCACCGTTCTTATCAATTGAGGCTGCAGACGTTGCAGCAGATGTATATAAGAAATCATATTTGCGGAGAGGTGGAAAGTGAAAGATGAGGAGGAGTGCTGGCCTTTTGCTGTTGACCAGTATCATTGAGGTGTTGCTCCCACCAAGCTCTTTGGTGCATAGTCATGTGTTTCATTATCCATGAGGTACCAAAATGGCTCGTCCTTTTAACATGGCTGATATGCTGCAGACAGGGGCTGCAGAACAAAAGACTGGTATCAGCAATCACAAGGTGCCAAGCCACTCGGATTGGCTCAGTTCACTGTCACTGTGTACTGACCCATATGAGAATGGTTTAGTACACAGAGATTAGTGAATGCAGCGGGCACCCAGTGACTATTTATGTAATTACATACATTTTATTATTACATACATTTTATTGCAACTCCATCTCTGCAATGCAAAGTATCATCATGACTAAGCCTGTAAACTCGTCAGAAAGGGGCAGACTGGAGGAAGGACTGTATGGCACAGCATGAGTTGCAAATAAGTAGTTTTTACACAAAGTAATGTAATTGATGTGCGACCATCTTTCATCTTAGGACAATAAAGAGCTGTAGCAATAGAGTATAAACTAGAAAAGCATGAAGTAATTGAAGTCCTGCCATAATTAGAGAAAATCATTCACATACTATTGCTCACTATATGGACTTACTTCAAATAATACAAATGGATTGAATATGATATACATTCAACATATTTTCTAAGTTGTTTATAATGCATTAGTTGTTTTAATGCATTAAGTTGTTTATTAAGGCATTAGAACATACAGGGTAGAGAATCCTTCTTTCTCCTCTAAGAGTTAAACAGAATCTCACTTTACAGACAGGATTTCCCCAGAGTTCTAAACTTTTCTCATATACAGTATAAAAGAGCAGACTTCTAAGCAAGTTCTTTACATTGCTTTCATTCTCAGTGGCCATTTTGTAAGCTGCATAATAAATCCAGTACCTTTAAGGTATGTATGATCAGTTCTTTTGTTATAACACACACACACACACACACACACCTAGCAGATAATAATTCTTTATGAATGTGGATAGAATTAAGGTTTACCTGAGGTTAACAAAAGCAAACTCCACTTAAGTGTAAAAAATAATATAGCATATAAAATTGCCAAATAAGCCATTTTTTATTTATTGTTATTTAAATTGCATTTGCATCTCAATGTGTAGCTGCTTTAATTTTCTGAAAAGGTAACAAAAAAACATTTAATACAATATAATAACCTGGAGGCAATCGGTGTACAACAATGCCTCCAGAAAGGTTATTTCCTGCTTTTTTGATAAAACAAACTTCTGAGCAAGTCAGTGAACCAAAGATACAATTAACATTTTAGGCATCTCCTGCTCTACAAATTTCCTTTGTGGCGAGATAGTCTCAAAGAATTGTCTACTAAATGGGCTGATGATGCTGCAGCTTTCCCTATTAGAACACTGAGATTGTTTTTAGATAGTTGTAATGAACACAGACCCTGCCATTCAGGAATCAGTCTGCAAATGACATAGTAAAGCAAACATCTATTTCTGCAGAACAGAAAAGGTAGATTTTTCTCTCAACAAAAGTGGAATTTAAATGCAACTTTCTATGCCTGGAACATCTTCATATTGCTACCCATAATACTTTTACCCAAAATGTTAACCAAAGGTCTCCACATACAGTACAGTATTTCTCTACATATTGGAAGCTATAGCGCACAGTAAATGCAAGAAGAACATGCCGAGGCTTTGACTTTTTTTGTGTTCCACAAAAGTTGGGTTTTGGTTCTCTTATTTGAAAGAACTGCACCACTATAAGGTTGTGTCTGTTTCATGAGATTTTTTTTAATTGATTGCTGAGTTCAATAGTATTTTTAGTAAATTTAGCTTTTGCAGCCTAACCATTTTTAAGAACACGTTATAGTGCTGATTGAAAAAAGACAAATAGGCTGTCCACTTTGAAAGGTAATCTTAACTTTGCAAGGAAATGTTCTCTTAGCATAGTGAATGAGTTGAAGCTTTGCTGGCTCCCATTATCCAATCACGTGCAAGCACAAATACTGTTGTTTTTTTCCTTTTCTTAGCCTGTGATTGTGTATTTTTTGCAAAGTTAATGTTCACCAAGGTTATTAAGAGAAGAATAAATTCCTTTGCAAAGGGAGCATTTCCTTGCAAAGTGAGCAGCCTGTTTACCTTTAGTAAATAAACCCCTATATATATATATTTCATTTAACTGGCATTAACTAATTTTCATGAGGAACATGAGTGCAGTTTTAATAGCTATTCAACATATGTATATTTTCTTTATGGTTTTTATGTCAGTTAATAACAGTCCAAGTAGTTAGAAAGGAAAAATAAAAGTATAAAATATTTTGTTAAAGTCTTCTGCAAAGCTGTCTATTTTAACAGCTTAGCAACCTTTAAAAGTATATACCTTTACATGTATTTCTTAAGTCAAAACATTTTTTTTTTTAACTTTTGGAAGGACTACAGAAGGGTTAAAACCTCTGACAGCTTTTTTGCAGTCTGTGTCCCATAAACACAACAGGAAGTAATTCGCTATTCTCTTACTGTCAGTCCCAGCGACAATGGTTAGCAACACAAATAGAAGGAGTGAAACTCCTCATTATTGACTGCAACAGCAATATACTTTTGACAAAATTGCTAAAATTTCCTCACGCTATCCAAACTAAAAGAGATAAATGTTGGTTTTAGATACAGTTTAGGCTAGCTTTGTAAAGAAAAAGGTTACAAAGAGAGCCAACACAAAAAAAAACACATTTCATGCATTTTTAATGTTGAATTGATCCAGTATTATAATTTCATATATATGGGTAGAACATATGATAGTCACAAGTGGGGTTGTTTTCTGCTTATGAATTGCTATAGTAGGAAATATTTTTAAGGATGTTGTGATATTGTTTTGCTTTATAAATGTATCAAGATTTCTAACACAGAAAATACAAAGAAGATATTTCAATATTTATAATATTTTATAAACATATGATACAAATGAAGAATGTTCTGCTTATTAAGATGCTAATTTGACACCCCCAGACTTATGCTTTGAAGTGCAGGCTGCACAATTCAGAAAACATTCTATAACAAGCCAGGTTGAACTTACACAGGTTTTGCACAGTTAGTGAAAGAAAAGAATTTAACCACTGAATCACCAGGCAAAATAACTCAGCTTGGTTATGGATTAGCAGTGAGTTTGAAGTGTGCCCAGGTCTGCCAGGAAATAAGCCAAAATAAGGATTTTGCCAATGAGAATGTATCACCAGGATTTTTTCTTGGACAATCTGTACACATCTAACTATTTGCCTGGTAGTTTAGAAAGGTCCTGCCATTAAGGGAAGACCTAAATGAACTGACACTGTTTTCTTTAAGAATAATTTATCATAGATATTTTTTCGTGTTCAATTTTTTTATTACAATTGCCAGGAATAACAGAAATTACATGTTGAAATACAATAAAGTGCAGCAGTTACAAAATGCACTAACAGATGACATAATGAGAATGTAAGCAGTAGCCAGCATATAGCATATAAGTTATACCAATATAACAGCAACAAAGTGTTTACAAGTTTTCAGTGCGATAGCTTCTGGCAAAGATTAGGGGAAGGGGAAAGAGATATGAAGCTCAGAAAAGAGAGGGGAAGAGGACTAGAAAGGAAACAAAAATGGCATAGACATAAGAAAGAGAACCAAGGTAGAGAGCTGCCAGCTGCCGCGGCCTCACACATAACTATGGGAAAAGAGTGTTCAAACCCAGGTGGTAAAAAGTTTTCAGCCCAGTAATAATACAAAGATGGATAGAATTTGTCCATTCGGTCTGCCCACCTCACCTCCACTTGTCCAAGAAGCAAGTTCTGTGTGATTCTGGATTTCGTCTCATCTATAGGCGGAGCATGCGATTTCCATGCTTTGGTGATTGTTTGCTTCAAAACCATTAGGACATGCAGCATCAGAACAAACTGAACCATAAGGATGCCAGGAGGCCCATCGGTGATTATTAAGTGCTAGTCATGCTTGAGGTGTTAGGGAAGAACCAAGCAAATGGACAGGATTTGCAAAGTTTAAGTCCAAAATTGTTGAGTAGCAGGGCATGTCCACCAAATGTAGGAAAATGAACTCACCACACCCCTGAAAACAAAGGAAGGCATGCTATGGGTGACTCTAACCGACACCATGTACCATCTAGTAATTAGTTTCCACAACCAAAACATTACGCAAGCAAGATTTGGTGGTGGACTAGATATGCTGCCAATCTTTCTCATCTAGAGAGGAACCTAAATTAACAAAGCTATTTTCAATAATATTTCACATTGTTCTGTTTGGAAGTGTTTTCACTATTTTTGCTAAATGTGTGTTTTGCTGGCAAAATTCTGTACTTGACATAAGGAAGAGAAGAATAGAAAGGAAAGTGCTTTAGGGAACTATTGACTAGAAGGCTTGTGCTCATAAATAAAGCAAACTCTTACCATTCCTTTACCTTCAGAATTTGTCTTTTGTTGCTTCCTTTAAATATTCTAACAAGATATTATAAAACAGTCTTTCTTATTGCACTTTAATATTATTATTGGAGTTAACAATGGAAACAGAACATTCCAATATAACAGAATTTTCCATTCAAGGTTTCTCTGGTGTCTCAGAGTTCCGGATCCCAGTGTTCCTACTCTTTCTAGTTGCTTATTTAATTATTATTGCTGGGAACCTCACCATTGTTGCTGTCATTTGGGCACATTCTCATCTCCATACTCCTATGTATACTTTTCTAGTGAATCTTAGCATCCTTGATATTGCTTCCACTTCATGTACTCTTCCTAAACTTCTATCCATGCTAAGTACAAATCAAAACACAATCTCATTTGCTGGCTGTATAACTCAGCTGTATTTTTTTTTATCCTTATCTTGTGCTGAAGCCATCTTGCTGTCAATCATGGCTTATGACCGCTATGTAGCCATCTGTGATCCGCTCCGTTATGTTGTTATTATGGATTTAAGATACTGTGTTATTCTGTCCCTAATTGCATGGATCGTTGCTTTTATAGACCTTTCTGGGCATGCTGTCCTTATATCTAAACTGAAATTTTGTGCATCTCATATAATTGATCACTTCTTCTGTGACATGGTGCCAGTGTTAAAGATTTCCTGCAGTGACACGTACAGTGTAGAATTGTTGAATTTCAGTGAAGGGGCAGTACTTGGAATTGCAACTTTCTTTTTTACTTTGGGATCATATGCATTCATTATTTCTACAATTCTAAAAATAAAATCTTCACAAGGCCGGGGTAAAGCATTTTCTACCTGTTCTGGTCACCTGACCTGTGTCACTGTGTTTTATAGCACTTTACTTTGTTCATATATGAGACCCACGTCATATTATTCACCAAAACATGATAAGTTCTTTGCTCTTCTTTATATTGTTTTAGTTCCTATTCTCAACCCAGTAATCTACAGTCTGAAAAATGAAGAAGTTAGACAGGTTTTTAAAGGTCTTAATAAAAAGTGGCAGTTACAAATGGGGTTAAAAGGGTCATGCCAAAGAAATTTGATAACTTACTAGAAATTGGTGGGCTAAGTTGCTAATTAGTCTCTTAACCTCCCTGGCGGTATTCCCGAGTCTGGCTTGGGGTTAATTTTCTGTACCATAAGCGGTAACCCCAAACCACACTCGGGAATACAGCGTTGCATATCTTACCTTGTCAGCAATCCCCGCTGTGTCCTCCGGCCGATGCCGGCATCCGTCTTCCGGGTTCCGTCCCTTGAGAGCGTCCGCGTCGCAGGGGGCGGAACCGGAGGGAAGTTTAAAAGTTTTAAAAAAAACGAAAAACATCAAAAAAGGAAAGAAAAAAATAATAATCATACAGCCAGGGAGGTTAAAGCGGAACTCCAAGATTTTGAAACCTTAACCCTTGCAGTGGGGTGGATCAACTGCAAAGGTTAACTGCTAATTATTTTTCTAAAGAGTGAAAATAAAGAAGAAATACTTATCTGATCCTCGTTACCACCTAGCTGCTAGACTGGGCCCCGCAGATTCTTCTCCCCTTGGCTCCGGCAGTCTAAGGTATAGTGACATCATCACGTCTAATACAAGTTTTTTAGACGCGAGGACACTAAGGAACATAATACAACTGGAGCAGAGGGGGAGAGAGGTGAGTGGTCACTGCCTCAGGACAGAGGAATAGGTGATTATTTCTTCTTTATTTCGTCCCCTAGAGAAAAATGAGCAGTTAACATTTTCACTGCAGGGGTAGCCCCAGTGCAGGGGTTGCAAGGTTTAACTTCCAAAAATCATGGAGTTCAGCTTTAAATATCCCTGGAACCCCAGTGTCAAGACCTTCCCATCATGATTCCCAACTTTGTTCCTATCCATCTTCGAGGCTTTCGGGCTTAATGGAGAATCTGTTTCTACTGAGGAATTCTCTAAAACATAAAGAAAAACATCCAGGAGGGAGAATGGGACTCACTAACTAACTAACTAACTAACTAACTAACTAACTTTTCTTGCAGCAGAATATTTCCTTGTAAATATCAGAGATTAGGTGATATTTAATGGTGTGCTGTGTTTTAATGCACAGCACACCTAGAGGGAAAGTGTGGGTCACATCCTACACTGTCATGACCAAAGAGGTCCTCCCTTATTACCTGACACATCAATTGTTAATACCTAAAATACTGAATAGTGCCTTCTCCACAGCAGAACTGTGCAGGGAAGCAGCTAATAGCCTATGCACAGTGCTGTGATGCAACACACACACACACATAATCTGATCTGACCAGATGTTATTGGTTTAGGAAGACGTATGAACATTTGATTTGTCAAATTTTGTTTTGTGCTGTAAATTCGGAGCCATCTTTACATTAGCGTAACATCCGGTGGACTCTTCCAAGCTGTGTTACATTCCTCTCAACCTTCTCTTCATCAACAAACAACACCCTTCCTAAAAAAGTATTGCAGAAATTCTTGTTTGTTAGTGCCTGTCTGCTCTCCAAGCTGGACAGTTTCCTACAGCTCAGAGCTTTCTTAAACAAATTGCTTGTTCCTCAAATTCATCATAATCCATATCATAAGGCCCCTGTACATCAGCAATTCTTCTAAGAGTCTTCACCAGTGGTAAACTATCGCCATAGCGCTATGGGGCCCAGGGCACAGGGGGCTTTGCCAGGACGAGGGACAAAGGGGTCCCCCTGATGCCGTGCAGGCCGCCTGAGTTGCTATGGCATCGCAAGCTGCTGGCTGTCACTGGCGTGTTCCTCCTCACAGCCGCTGCAGAGTCAGTGACAGCCAGCAGCTGCAGAAAAGGAGGCTTGGCCCGGCGTCCACAGCGGATGAGGAGGCGGGGCCCGGTATTGGCAGTGGAAGAGGCGGGGCCTGACGATGGAGATGGCGGGGCCTGACAAAGGAGGTCTATGGTGGGCTCTGCCGGGTCACTCTCTGGTGTGCTGTTTGGGATCTCAGGTGGACTCTGCAAGGGGTGTAACTAGAAATCACAGGACCCCATGCACAAATTTGCTATGGGGCCCTGTGATTTCTAGTTACACCCCTGGTCTTCACCACAATTTTGTAAAGCTGAACAGCAGTTTAACTACGTTATAACATGCAGCTGGACACTTAAATATACTAGAAGGAATATCTGTGTTCATAATCACCATTAAGGCATACACTTTCCTTTTTTTTTTCTCCTGAACGTTTTCAATGCATAGATGATAAAATGTTCTCCAAAAAGTATTGAAGCTCGTTATAGAAAGTCCAAGTGACTGGTACTGTAAAATATTGTGGAATTCTGATTTCTTGCAGGCAATAGCCAAACAGAACTGAAAACAAAGAATAGGATTCTCTAATTTGGAGGAGTTTAAAGTATTGAAGAAAGAAGAGACATCATAATCAAAATGCAAAAAAAAGTGAAACTTTATGACACGTAACTTTATGAAATTAAACAAAAGAACAATTCTAGTAAATACCTCGGAGAATGAAGAACACAATTGAAAGAAACTGTACTTTTTTTTCCTGCATAAAAATAAATGATGTTAATTCTCTCTGGATTTAAATGAAATATATTTCTAATAATAATAGTATTTTTTAGTGGTTATTGATTTACAAGTAGCACAGTAGTAGTTTTTTATGGATATCAACTTTTACTTGTGTGTGAATAAATCTTTTATTATATATTGTTATAATATTTGTTGTATCTGTACACACACACTGTAAACTTTACAAAAAAAGTTATTGGTTTACATGTAGCTTAGTAGTTTTCTATGGATATCAACTTTTACTTGTGTGTGGATATTCTGTATGTGTTGTATTATATTGTTTTTCTAAAACAATACAGACTAATGATTTTAGGACAGTGGTGGAGCGCCAAGGCCCAGTCACAGCTGCAACCCTGGTAGTTCTAGTGAATGGTGATGGGGGCTAAACTAACATAAAATAACGATAGGGCTCACTAAGACTTGTTGCCCGGGACAAGCAGTTCTGGGCGCCGGGCGGGTTGTTGTTTTCTACATTTAGCCCTGCTGTGGGATGTCGCCGAGATCACTTGTATGCAGCCTGCATAGAGGGGGGCGCATTGAGGATCTGGCATTGGGGCAGCAGAGAGAGTAAATCCAGCCTTGGTTGTTACATTGGCTTTCATACAGCAGAGAACAGTTAGATCTGAACTCCAGGCAAACAGCTAAATACAAAGTTAAAATCCATATATGAGAGCTGTAATTTACATCAAAAAAGATTTGTATTTCTGTCTATTCAGTCCCTACATTTACATAGCTCTGTCCCACAACACAACTCTGTCTAGCTTGGGAGGAGACCTGACCCTTCGCTGCTGCAATTTCACTTTCACTTACAGGTCTCCTCCCCACCCGCACATTGTGAATGGACATTGAAAGAAGCAAAACATTCCCAGCACACTCACCAGCCAGTATGCAAAAAAAATCACTGTCTAACTATTAAAGGTTCAAAACAGAGGTTTTAGTTGCACATCTTTTGCAAAATACGTGGAAGCCACACAGCCTCGTCAAGGCCCCTCTGTATAGTGCGGTCCCAACTCTAATCCGTGAGAGCCTTTATTTTGGAGCATATTTATAGCAAAGGATGAATTGGGTGCAGGTTCCCCAGTAGGTAGCCCAAACTCCTTAAAGGCATAGGGACACACAAGGAGCCCTGCACATCACAATGGCAGTTGAAGCCCTCAGTGTATCCCCAGACCAAATCCAACAAGTGTAACGAATGGCAAATGCACTCATCAATTCACAACCAGCTTTAAAGGAAGGCGCGAATCAAAGGGCTTTACACAGTACAAGAGCAAAAGTTTCCCAGCACACTCCCCAGCCAGCCTGCAAAAAAATCACTGTCTTGCTCATCAGTGTGCTGCTTCTTTTTTCAATGTCCTCTGTTTTTAACCTTAGTAGTTAATTTATTTGCCACTCTGTTTTCTTTTTCCTCAGGACCCTACCTGCTTTTCCCTGTACAGACAGTATAGTAGTAAAGATTAGCCAGTAAAAGTGTGCTGATCTCCCTCTGATCCAGCCACAGAGACCTGGCATATCGGTCCTGGGCCCGCACGAAGGGCAGCGTAGCCTGGGATAAACAGCAATGACGGGGCGGTGCACACTCCCTGGCAACATACTAGCCATCGGGTGGCTCTATAGCCACCTGAACTCTTGTATGCAACAGCCTTCATCTAATAAACTATTTTCCTAGCCTTTTTTTTTACCTACTACACACCTTTGGAGGAATGCAGCACTGTACAATGAACTTTCTGACATGTTGTCCATGCATTTTTCTCTACACGTTGGTATCTTTGAATGTTTTAAATTGCACATGCCTTTTTTAATACTTCTTATGCTTGAGTTGATATAACCTCTAAATCAGTGGTTCTCAACCTGTGTAACCTCGGGACCCACATGTTTCCTTGGTCATTAAGGCGTGACCCAAAAATGATTTCATTTCTGAAACATTTTAATTTATTACACAAAACAACTTGTGCAGTATTCAGCAATATATATTTTGCTGAAAGTAAATGAATTAAAAAAAATTAAAAAGTTTATAAAGAATAAAAATTAAATATTTAAAAAAATTAAAATAAAAACCTGTGGCGGTTGCGGGGTACGGTCCCAGTGGATGTTTATATAGATGTTTGGGGGGTTTAGTGTGTGGAAATTACCTTTCTTACAATATTTTCTGCAATAAAAATTGTTAGGTCTGCATGTTGCTGCATAAATGACTCCCTTGGCCTTGTCCCCAGCCCACTTTATGCACTTTGTAGCAATTTTCCTTTCAGCTTTACTTTTCTTCTGTAGTTCTAAGGATTTCTTAATAACAGTCTTTAACTGTTACTGCAATTGCTATTGCTCATTTAAAAGTGATGTAATCTTTGTCTAATTACATCTTAAACATGGAAGTATTTTGCCAGGTTCCATGAGGGCTGGTTTACATAAATGCACTGCGGGAGTGCACTTGTCAACACGTGTTACAACAACGCACATTACATGTGTTGACGCATTGTTGGGCCATTAATTTTAAATAGCACCCGAGCTCACTAAGGCAATGCACATGCACTGCGATGT